TTTTTCTAAAATAGCAAAGCCTATGACTAATCTTCTTGAAAAAGAAACATCTTTTGAGTTTGATGAGGCATGTTTGCAAGCATTCATAACCTTAAAGAAACAACTTGTCTCTGCTTCTAATTACTGCACCTAATTGGTCTTTACCATTTGATCTTATGTGTGATACTAGTGATTATGTTGTGGGTGCTGTATTGGGACAAAGAAAAGAAAAAATGTTTCATGTCATTTATTATGCCAGTCGTGTGTTGAATGAAGCTCAAAAGAATTATGCCACGACTAAAAAAGAATTGCTTACTATAGTGTTTGCTTGTGATAAATTTAGATCTTATCTTATGGGGTCTAAGGTTATTGTTTACACTGATCTCGTTGCTTTGAGATATTTGTTTGCTAAGCAGGATGCCAAGCCACGATTAATAAGTTGGATTCTCTTGTTACAAGAATTTGATTTGGAAATCCGAGATAAGCAAGGGAAGAAAAATTTGATAGTTGACCACCTTTCCAAAATAAAGGATGATCGGGATGTACAACCTATTTCAGAGGAGTTTCCAGATGAGAAATTGCTAGCCATTACTTCTTTGTCATGGTTTGCAAACTTTGCTAATTTTAAAGCAGCAGGTATAATCCCATACGACTTAACCTTTCAACAGAGAAAAAAAATTCTTGCATGATGTTAAATTTTATTTTTGGGATGATCCCTTACTGTTTAAAAGATGTGGTGATGGTATCATTAGGAGATGTGTTCCTGAAAATGAATTTGAAAGTATCCTTTGGCATTGTCATGGATCAGATTATGGGGGGCATTTTAGTGTTCAGAGAACAACTTCTAAAATTTCACAAAGTGGATTTTACTGACCTACTCTTTTTAAGGATGCCCGTAGTTTTATGGAGAAGTGTGATAAATGTCAAAGGGTAGGAAATATTTCATAGAGAGATGAGATGCCTTTAAATAGTATTTTGGAAGTTGAAATTTTTTATGTGTGGGGTATTGATTTTATGGGGTCATTTCCTTCGTCTTTTTCAAACCAATACATTTTAGTTGCAGTGAATTATGTTTTTAAGTGGGTCGAGGCTAGGGCATTTCCATCAAATGATGCCAAAGTGGTGATTTCTTTCGTTAAGAAACACATATTTTCTAGATTTGGGGTGCCTAGAGCAATCATTAGTGATGGAGGTTCACATTTTCATAATAAGAAATTCACATCACTTCTAGGAAAATATGGTGTCAACCATAAGATAACAACCCCTTACCACCCACAAACTAGTGGACAAGTTGAAATTTCCAATAAAGAATTGAAGAGAATTTTAGAGAAAGTTGTGAGTTCATCTAGGAAAGATTGGTCTAGGAAATTAGATGATGTACTTTGGGCTTACCGTACAGCTTTTAAAACACCGATTGGGAAATCATGTCATTTACCAGTGGAATTAGAGCATAAGGAATTTTGGTCTATTAAATTCTTGAATTTCAATTTAAAGAATGCAGGTGAAAAGAGATTATTGCAATTGGATGAATTGGAGGAATTTAGACTACAGACCTATAAAAATGCTAGCATTTATAAAGAAAGAACGAAAAAATGGCATGATAAAAGGATTGTGAATAAAGAGCTTCCATCAAATAATGCACAATTGAAGTCAGAGAGTTCCTCAGGTGGGTTGTGAATTTTTCCACAACCTGTGAAAATTCAAGACAGTTATGAGAAGTGGTAACTACCTCAACAAGTGGAGAAAAAAACGTGGGACACCCTATAAAGAAGGTGGAACGAAACTGAAAAAGGGGGGGTTGACAACCATTCTCGATTGTTACATTCTAGTTATTATCTTTTGGGAAATTTTTTTACATTATGCAGAACTGATTTTCCTTTTTTGTCAGATGATTTATGTAGTACTCTGAATTATATTTTCTTGTTCTTGACAATTGATGTTAGTTAATGTTCTTTATCTCAGTATTCTATTTATAATTTCCAAATTCATTCCACGAGCAGTTTCACATTTGGGAGATTGGAGGTTGTTCGCGATCCTAAATATAACAGGTTAGAGTTTGTCATAATTGGGAAATTGGGCATATATCTAATTAGTTTGCAATAAAGAAAATTATTGTTTTTTTCATGATTCTATTGAATGACGTAACTGACCTAAGGGATTGGGGGTTCAGATTCAATGAATAGTTTTGTCTACTAAAGGATTAGGGGTAAAACAACTCTCGATAAACTCACGTGGATAATTACATTTTTTGCATCAATTAAAAAGACTATAATTATATAGAAAATGGTGTGAAATCAATTCTTTAACAGATATTGTTTTGACTAAAGTTCTTATTATAATTCTATATTTGCTATTTTATCCAAATTTTCAATTGTTCAACTTACGTAAATTAAGAATTTAGTATTCAACAAATTCAATCTCAAAGGACGATATTTTATTATTACGTTAACGATTAATGCATTTGTCAAACGTTTATCAATGAGATGAGAAAACATGTTATTAATTTAGGTAACATAGTTTAATCTTAACAAATATTTTTTTATTAAAAAATATATTGGTAAGATAAAATTTTACTTAAAAAAAAATTAAAACTAAACCTATAATAAAGACAAACGATATGACATATGAAAACATTTCATATTAAGTGTGTATGAATTAGTTATATGTGTCTTAATTAAAAAAACGAGTTAACAAAATAAAAAGTTTATAAAACTATAATATTATTTAGAAAAAATAATAATGTACTTGTATAAATAATATTCAAAAAAGCATAAGATTGAGATGTCTATGACCTATCAAATCATAACTTCGAAGATTAATAAATTACAGACTTAAATTAATTACTGCGTGACATTCAAAATTCTTTTAACTTTGCTGTTATTATTGTTTGTTTATTTTAAATTAGACACATTTATTACTTTTAAAAATAACTTATAATTTGATCAGACTCTAAATAAAAAAAGATCATTTTATTTTAATCTATACAATTATTTATAATTAAAATGAAATAAATCAATAAATTATAAATAATTAATTTTTATTTTATTAAAATATAGGATGTAACGACGAATCTTCTTAAAAAATCTGAAAGTAGTAATCTTAAAAAAAATTTAATTATCATATAATTATTTTAGTCTCCAAATTTATATTATTATTTAATATATTAATTTATATATTTATAATTTTATTTTTTTATTTTTTTATTAATTTTGTAACTCTTATATATTTATAATTTTATTTTTTTATTACTTTAATTTTTTCTTATTTTTATATTTATTTATTATTTATTAATAATATATTATTTGATTTTAAAATTAATGGTCAGATAATACATAAACTACAAATATATATTATCTATTATAAAATTATTTTGTTTATTGGAACTACTTTATATTTAATGTTTTTAATTTATTTTATTTATATAAAATTAATATTTAAATAAATATTTTATCTATTTCTCTTAACATTTATCTATTTGTTTTAAATAAGTAATTATATATATATATATATATATATATAACTCTTATAAATTTTATATAAAAACTAATAATAAAAAGTTGGTGCATATAATTTTGATATATTATTATTATAAATTTTCATAGAAATATTTTTTTATTTTTTATTTATAAAAATAATAAAAAATAATTTTTCCACAAATATAAATAGTTTTTTATAAGAAAAATGGACAGAAAATAAATAATTTTTAAATAGTGTATTATAAAAATATTTAAACATTTATTTTCTAAAACATGTTTACCTTATTATTATTTTTTTAAAATACATTAAAATCATAACATAATTTATTCAACAAAATCATGTTGAATTTTGCATACAAAATTAATAACACAAAAATCACATTTGGCATAATGAAGTCATGAAATACAATTTTTTTTATCATGAAATATGTCACATGGCACAATTTAACCCAAACAAATATGAATTGATCTTTATAAAGTAACTCGGCTACATGATATATTATGGGATCTTTTACCCTAATGGTAGTTTTGCCCAAACACTCGCATGTGGATTTCTATTGTATATTTTTCTGATTCATAATATTTTAATACTTTTTAAATACAATTGCTATCATTTTTATTTTAATAATTATATTTGTAGTACATGAGTGCAATAATATTTTTTTCACTAATTTTTATACATGCAGATAATTTATCTGATTTAACCATCTATGTATCGTTGGAACAACAAATATTTTATACTTTCTATAAATAAAGCGTATTCAGAAATATATATTAAACTAAACTAAATGTATAATAAGAAAATATTACATAGTTTGAACTTTAATGTAATAAAAATGTGGATATTGTAGGTTAGTAACTATTATTATATCCTCATTGTTTCATCATCTCTTGAGCCTTTGTTTTATTGAGAAAGAACAACTTTTGTTACATTTTATTTATTTATTAAAAGCATGTGTTATTTGTTAATATTTTTAAAAATTAATTAAACAAAAAAATATATGAAATGAATATAAATAAGCTTGCATACTTTCAAACCTGGTCTTTAAATTAGTACTTCTAAAAAAATATTTTCTATGCCATTATTTAATAAATATTTAAATTTGATTTTGATAATTATTGTACTATTTTGAATTAATTATGTTGGTATTTTATTCTGATATTCTCACATATTAAATACCAATATATACATGTTAATACTGTTAACTTAAGAGTAATAATGTTTTTTCAAAACCTAATATACATATTCATCAAAATTTTAAAGATACTAAATAACCGGTAAGGTGAAAGCGGGACCCGACCCGGTTGATTTGGTAGGTTCCCTCTCCGGCATCGGATGAGCTGACCTGAAATCAAAGCGAAGGGTTTGGATTTTGCAAATCCGAAATGAAAGCATTCGCAATATCATCGTCACTGCTTAACTTCAAATCTTTCACTTTCCACCACTCTTCCTCTTCCAACCTCTTCTTCCCCCTCTCTTTCATTCTCCCCTCTCTCTCTCCCTCCCATCTCCGCCACCGCCCATTCCACCGCCACTCTCCGATCATGGCCGCCGCTTCATTCAACCCCGAACGCGCCCGGGCCCCACCCGCCATTCCCATGCCCTCTCCCCCTCTCTCCAAGGCAAGTTCTCTCTCTCTGTCTCTCTGGCTTTCCCTCGTTATTCTCTCCCTCTCGCTCACTTCACGCGCTTTCTTCTCTTTCAGTTCAAAATTGGCATCTGTCAACTCTCCGTCACTCCCGACAAAGGCAGGAACATCGCCCACGCCCGCACGGCCATTCAGGACGCTGCATCGAGGGGCGCTCAGCTTGTTCTTTTGCCTGTCAGCTCCTTTTTTCCGTTTCCCCTCTTTTTTTACTTTTTCTGAACATTATCACGAATTTTACTGTATATATGTAGTCAACAACTTTCATAAACTTCCACATGTTTCTGAACTTGCTTTTGGGATTGAGTTAGGTTTTACGTCCAAATTCTAAGAAAAGCGCGACCTTGGTTTTTCAGGAAATTTGGAACAGTCCTTATTCGAATGATAGTTTCCCTGTCTACGCTGAAGATATTGACGCCGGTGCCGATGCTTCTCCTTCCACCGCCATGCTGTCTGAACTCTCTCGTCTCTTGAAAATCACCATCGTCGGTGGTTCCATACCAGAACGTTCTGGAGGTCGCTTGTACAACACTTGTTGCGTTTTTGGCACTGATGGAAAACTACTTGCCAAGCACCGCAAGGTACCGCTTCTCCTAATAATACTTCGTTATCTTGGACAATGGATTTTGTAATTGAATGGAATCCTGTGAGGTGAATAATGCGTGAATTTATTTTAGATTGTTGTGTAATTTCTGGCATACTGGCTTTGCTGCAGATACATCTTTTTGATATTGACATCCCTGGGAAGATTACCTTTATTGAATCAAAAACTCTTACTGCTGGGGAGACTCCAACGATTGTTGACACAGGTCTAATATGTTCTTTCATCACACATTCTAACTCTTGTTCTTTCAGAAATGTATATTTTAAATTTAAAGTACTGAGGATTCAAATATAGGCAGGCTGCAGAATAAAGGAAATGAAATTTATTATGGTTGTTGACTTGGATAAACCTCTAAAATGTTTGGCTTCTTATACTTATCCGTGGCTCATCTTGAACTTACATGCTACTCTACCTTATCTTATGGACAATCAGCGATTGTATGTCTCTATGAGGGAATTTTGTTAATTATATCACTTGTTCAGACTAAATATTTTTATGTATTTCTGGCTTTTTGTGTGTGCCTATACGTGATAATGTGTTGTATGATATGAAAGAGGAAACAATTATAAATTATTCTAGAGATTAGTTCAAAAGAAGAGAATAATGTGTATATGTGCTTTTAACCAGTTATGTTTGTGGTGTAGTTTTAACCAAATGATACTAAAGACAGAAGAAAGCACCTTATTAAGAACTCTCATCCAATCTTCATTTATAGAACAGAACATGTTTTTTGATTACCATGTCACGCTAGTAATTTAGTATTTTTTGCTTTATCAGATTATTGTTTTTGCAATAAAAATTTCTATGTTTGAGTAAACAAATTGAAATATTGAGTTGATTCATGCAGAGGTTGGACGCATTGGCATAGGCATCTGTTATGACATTCGGTTTCCGGAACTAGCGATGATATATGGTGCTAGAGGTTTGTTTTTTCCATATTTAATATGTGGGTTTCTCTTTCTTTCATTTGTTGGCCATGATTTGAGTTCTTCAAGGTGTTTTATCCATGCCTCCAAACTACCATTAGCAGTAGCAATTTTTTTTTCGGGGATGGATAAAAGAAGAAAGATTGGTTCACATACTATACATTAGGCAACACTGTTGGGAATATTACTTTATTATCTTTTATTTAAATTAGGTATTAAGAGATTTTATTATCTTTTAAGAGAGAAGGTGAAAAAATATTAGGTTATTATTTTGATTTAGGCAGTTATGATTGAGATATTATTGATATTTGATATTTTATAATATTTTTACTCTATATATACATAGAGTACATGAATAGAAATATACTCACATGATATATCAGAAATACACATATACAAAACCCTAAAAATTCTCAACAAATTGGTATCAAGAGTTTTGGTTCGATACAATGGAAAGAGAAATAAATTTTTCACAAGTCGCTATTCTAGTTTTTTATGGCGAAAATTATGAATTATGGGTTGTGAGATTGCAATCCTATTTTGAAGGATTGAATGTATGGGAAGCTGTAGAAGAAGATTATATTGTTGATCTATTACCTGAAAATCCCACCATAGCTGAAATGAAATTTCACAGAGAAAGAAAAATGAGGAAGGCAAAAGCTAAATCATGTCTGTTTGCTGGTGTTTCACAAATAATCCTCACCAGAATCATGACGCTAAAGTCACCCAAAAAAATTTGGGATTATTTAAAATATCAATATGAAGGGATGAGAAAACTCGAGGTATGAAAGTTCTAAACTTGATAAGGGAATTTGAGATATAAAATATGCAAGAGTCTCAAACAATTAATGAATACTCAAACAAATTGTTGGGTATTGCTAACAAAATAAAATGGTTAGACAAAGAATTTTCTGATTCCAGAATAGTTGAGAAAATCCTGGTAACTGTGCCGGAGAGATATGAAGCATTTGTTACATCATTGGAAAACACAAAAGAATTGTCTAATATTACTTTGACAGAAGTACTACATGTTTTACAAGCGCAAGAGCAACGAAGATTGATGAGAGGAGATCATGCTGCTGGTGAAGGTTCTTTACTATATCATGATGGAGGTTCTCTCCAAGCCAATAACAACAAAGGTACAAAATCACGAGTCTTTTCTGTTTGTCCTTATTACAAGAAAAATAATCAAACACCCAGCAAGTGTTGGTGGAGACCTGATGTGAAATGTCACAAATGTGGTCAATTGGGATATATAGAAAAGATATGCAAATCACAACCAGAGGAAGTTGTTCAAGTTATAGAGGATAGGGTAGAAGAAGTACTTCTCCTGGCATCAACTTGCTCTACAATGTTGACTTATAGACAGTGGTTGTACAAACCACATGACTCATGATCGAGAATTTTTCAAAGAGCTCAATGAATCACATATTTCTAAAGTGAGAATCGGTAATGGAGAACAAATGAATGTGAAAGGTACGGGAACAATTTCAGTTAAAAGTCATTCGGGTATCAAATTGATTTTTGATGTTTTATATGTTCCTGATATAAATCATAATTTGTTAAGTGTTACTCAATTATTAGAGAAAAGTTATAAGGTGTCTTTTGAACACAAACTTTGTGTGATTAAAGATACAAATAACTTGGAAATATTCAAAGTTCACATGAAAGGAAAAAGTTCCACTTTAGATTCGATGAAAGAAGAGATTATTATAAACGAATATATAAAAGAAAAGTCAAAGAAAAAACATGAAGAAGATTTCTTGAAGGAACTTGATGTTAAGGAGGAAAATAAAGATGTAGATGAAGAAACCATTTTCAAAGTCCATCAAAGAGTCAACGGTGCTATCATGAAGAAGTTTGAAAGAAACAAAGGAAATGAAGTTGATAAAGGAAGAAATACTTGATAAAGAAAATGAAGTTGACTGAAGATGTGATCTCATACAAGTAAGAAGATAATAAGAAGTACAAACAAAAAGGAAAAATTATAAGAAAAAAATATCAAATTCAAATAAATAGATATTAAAGTAAAGAGGAATATTGGGAATATTACTTTATTATCTTTTATTTAAATTAGGTATTAAGAGATTTTATTATCTTTTAAGAGAGAAGGTGAAAAAATATTAGATTATTATTTTGATTTAGGCAGTTATGATTGAGATATTACTGATATTTGATATTTTGTAATATTTTTACTCTATATATACATAGAGTACGTAAATAGAAATATACCCACATGATATATCAGAAATATACATATACAAAACCCTAAAAATTTTCAACAACCACTGCCTGTGTATTTCTCATTTCAGGGATGCACTAAAAAAAATTTCAAATCCATATTTCTTGGTATGATATTTCATTCCCTTTATTATGTTTTCTGTCTTTTATTCCTCTCTTTTTTTAACACAATCAAAAGGTTCAATTGAGATTAATTATCAAGTTCTCAACTATTATTAGTATTATTTTCTTGTTCTAAGCTTTGGCAAACTTACTGTATCAGTCGGCTTTGACTTCAGGTGCCCACTTACTCTGCTATCCTGGGGCATTTAACATGACAACTGGACCATTACATTGGGAGTTATTGCAGAGGGCAAGGTAGTAATGGATACAACTTGGTGAAACATTTAGCAACCTAGAACACATGTACTTTTGTTTCGGTTAAAATTTATAACCCTATCAGGTCTTGTAAGTTTACATTAATATGTTCGTATAATCTGAAATATTTTATCTTTAGAATATTTAAAATTAATACCTATTGAATTTATTTACTTTAGTTTTTAAAAGTTATGTGCTTTTTGTCCCAGGTGAGGAACTAAAGCCACACTATTTTTGATAAATTAGGAATAATCACAAATAAAATTTAAGGATGGACTAAAATTGAAAAAAGTAATCTTCCAAATATAGAAAATATATTTAAACCAATAATTTGTTACTGTCTAGAAACAAACTCAATAAACTTGGAAGTTTATTCGTTTTCTCCACTAATAATTGCATCCACTAAATTTGAAGATAGTTTTCTGAACCATATGCATACTTTGTAATAGGCATTTATTGCCAAATATAACCTTGTTTGTAGAAAACTAGAAACTAGTGATCATAATTGAAGTTAAAATATATATTTGGATTACCTTTTTCCTTGTTCTACTTTCAGTTCTTTCTTGGCTCTTCCTGATCTTGGGCATGTAAAACCTTTTTTTATTTATATATAAATTATTTATGATTAAGCAGTAATGACTAGTCAAAATTCCATTGCTAATCTATATTTTGTTTCTTCTCATGCAGAGCTACAGATAATCAGGTGATACTCCTTTTTTTTATTTTATTTTTAACTTATGTGGGTTTTGATGCATGAATACTAATGTTCTATTTTAAAAGTATGTGAAATCTGAAATCGTCTAGTTGTCTTTCGTTGTATTTAGTTTAGCTGTTGACGGATAAACCAAACAGTAGGCTTGAAACAGTAGCTTTGAATTGAGAGATATATGCATTGTGAATAAGAAATCAAACTCCCCACCCCCGCAAGGAGTTTGCTGGAAATGTGTGATAAATTGAAAGCATGTGCTACGCTCTATGAATCACTGACACTGAAACAGAACACGAATAATGTCCAAAAGATAGGACATGGACACTGCTGATATAATCAATGAGACAAAAATCTCAATTTAGAATTAAGATTTATATTAATAGCATTAAGGAAAATAGCTGTAATATAGAGGGTGTACATAGGTAAATAACTTGTAATAGGCAGTATTTTTATTTTTATTTTGAGGAGGCTGAAATAAATAGGAAAGGGAGTTAGTCGCTATACTGATATTTGAACTTTTGAATCAGAATTTCAGAGGGACAGTCCACGTCTATTACTGAAGGCCTGAGTTACATTTTTTGTTTTTCGTAATTTTTCATATGCATTACAGAGCTACATAGTGGTGATTGATTTAAATAAATTTTCCATTTTTTGCCTATTATTTCTGATCCAGTTCAATTAGATTAGTACAGTTGATTGTGATTAAAGCAGGTTATAGTTAGGGGTTTATCTGTATGTTCCGACCATACTAATCATTGTGTGAATTTTAAATTTTTAAGTTCTGAGGATATTAATGGATGCTTAACTTCAGAAAGTTGTTTACTGACAGTTATACGTGGCTACCTGTTCACCTGCCCGGGATACTGGATCTGGTTATGTGGCTTGGGGTCACTCCACTCTAGTTGGACCGGTAAGTAGATCCTTAACAAACAGCTTCCCTTAAGAGTTATTTAAATGTTCTAATTATGCAAATCAGTGTTATATTTTCTGAATTTAATAACAAATAGAGAGGGAATATCTTTAATTATATGTACTTACTGGAATATATCAATGTGGCAGTTTGGAGAAGTTCTGGCTACTACAGAACATGAGGAGGCAATCATCATTGCAGAAATTGATTATTCAATATTGGAGCAGAGAAGGTTTTCTTTCCTTCACAATAAAATCCTGCACATGTATAGCTTTTCATTACCCGTCATAATAATCATACGAATTGTTTTCATTAAATTATTCAGGACAAATCTCCCCATAACTAAGCAAAGACGAGGTGATATTTACCAGTTGGTGGATTTTCAGAGGCTGAATTCCCAGTGATGGAAGCAGGACTATTGTAATTTAGAGACATCTACATTACCTTGTACGAGGCGTTCGCATGCTGATATGTAGCCCCAATCTGAAGGGAGGAAATAAATAAAGGAATTTGTGTGTTGTCCAGTACTTTGTTCTGTTGTTAATTGATATCATAGTCTAATATTTCTCAATTACGGATTCTCATGCAAGATTTTTTGACGTTTGTATGATAGTAAGTGGCTATATGCAGTCCTTGCACAATTCACAAATGAATTTAAGTTTATAATAAAAAATCTGTGAAGTGCCTTCTTTCCGGTAGGACGCAAACCAGTTCTTATCGTTATAGAAAGTCCTTCGTCTCACATATCGGGTTATCGCATTAGTGATTAATTACTCATCATAAATGGCTTATACCATCCAGATATAAAGTTGCCACAAACATTTTTCTTTTTTAAAGCCTTCCAGTCAATTTTCTTGTCAAATGATATCATAAAAACGGCATTAAGAACTGAGATCTCAGGGAACAAAATTAATAAGCAGTGTGAACGTAGGTGCAGAGATTTTTTGTTTAACAATTTTTTATTAGTTTTTATATATTAATTTATATTGAAGTGAAAAGATTGAAAAAAAAAGTGATTCAAAGAGTGGAGTGAAGGAAAGAAAATATTTTTTTAATTAATTTTATTTATTTCATTTATATTCAAAAGAAGAATGTGTAATTAAAAGAGTAGAGGTTATATATATATATATATATATATATATATATATAAATATAAAGAGAACTTTTTTTTAAATTGTGTGACTTTTCTTTTAACGATTTGTTGTGTTATTGCTTTTATCAAATATATTTTGGAGGAGAGAAAAAAAAGTGTAATATCGGTAAATGAGTGGAGAAAAAAAATTTCAAATAACTTCCTTTTACTTTCTTCGTGTAATAAATTATTTATTTTATATCTTATTTCCCTTTTATTCCTTCACACACAATATAATATTAAATAGAAATTTATCCTCTGGTTATTCGATCACATGTTTTCTCATTTTTTTTGCTTATACATAAACTAAAAAATATAAATAATAAAAAGTTGTAATTATTTTCTTACATCGTCTTATTCTTGTTTTTTTTTTTTCTCTTTCCATTTGAAACTCTGTACACGTCTATTTCTTTTGAACGATCTAAAATTTTTAACAGTCGTCACTAATATATAACTTTTTTTTAAATCATTTAGTGGATAAAAATTTTGGTAATTTAAACTGTTGTTAATATTTTTGTTTTAAATCAATTAGGGATTAAAATTTGAGTCATTAAATTATTAGTCGTTAATATTTTTGTTTTAAGTTAATTAGTGAAAAACATTATTTGTTAAATAATTTTTGACCAATATTTCTGTTTAATCAATTAATGAATAAAATTTTAGTAGCTAATTTAGCGACTAGTTTTTTCGCCTCTAAATTTTTGTTTAAATGTACATGACTGAATATTTGTTTGCTAAATAGTTAGTGACAAATAATTTCGTTCCTAAATTTTTGTTTTAAACATATTAGTGATTGAAAATTTTGATTTTTAAATTATTAAATATTTTTGTTTTAAAGAACTTAATGATTAAGATTTTAATTGTAAAATTACCAATAATAAATATTTTTGTGGTTAATCATTTTCAAGTAATTAATAAATAAACTATTAGTCATTATTTTTGTTGCTAATTTTTTTGTTTTAAATAAACAAGTGTTCTAAATTTTATATTTTAGAATTTCAATAATTAACAATTAATATTATTGATGTTAATATTATTTTGAATAAATTAGAGACAAATGTTGTGGTGTTAAATTATTAAGAGCATCACTTAATAACACGTAATTTGGTCGCTAAAATATTAGTTGAAAATCAATATTATCGCTAGTATTTTTATTTTACATGAGTGACAAATATTTCAGTTGTAAGATAGATAAAATATTAACAATAAAATCAATATTTCAGTTGTTAATATTTAAACTTTAAATCAATTAGTGACCAATTATTTAGTAACTAAATTATTGTGACTAATATTTTTATATTAATACTTTTTATTTTAAATGGAATAATGATTAATGTTTTGGTTTAGTATTAGCCACCAATATTTCAATCACTAATATTCTTTCAACTTGCTAATAAAAAATTAGTGGCTAAAACTATCGATGAAACTAATATTTTCTCATCTATTTTAATTTTAAATAATTTAATGACTAATAATTTGATTATGAGAATTTTAATATTTTAGTCACTACTATTTTTTTTCAAGATTAATATTTTATTTTTAATATTATTGATGACTAATATTTCAATCATTACTAATATTTTTTTAATAATTAACGATGAAAATTCGGTCAATGACCAATATTTTTGTTTTAAATCAATTAGTGATTAATATTTAGTTATTAAATTATTAGCAATCAAAGTTTTTCTCACATTTTTTTAGAAAATGATCTAATTACCACTATTTTAATTGCTAAAATATTAATATCATTAATATTTTTGTTTAAAATTATTTAACGATCCAAAATTTTGGGCACTAAAATATTAGTGACCCTACTAATATTTCTATCATTTATATATATTTTTTTAATAGCTTAGTGATCAAATTTATTCACTAGTTAAATTATTAATAACAAATAATTTCATCAATAGTATCATTTAAAATAATTAAGTGATCAAAATGTTGGTTGCTAAATTATGATTGATGAAACCAATATTTTTTATGTTAATATTTATTTTTAAAATCAATTAATGAGATAAATATTACAACAAATACTTATAGTTTAGTGACTAAATTTTTGATTGCTACCAAGTAAATATATTTTTATTAATATTTTTTTCTAAATCAATTTGTGACTAATAAATATATATATTGGTTGTTAAATTATTCGTTAATATTTTTATTTTAAATAATTTAATGACTAGTTAGCAACCAAAATTTAGTTGCTAAATTATGAGTGATTAATACTTTTGTCACTAATATTTTCGTTGAAAATAACTTAGTGACCAAACCTATATTTTTATTTTAAATCAATTAATAATCAATAATTTGATTAAAAAATTATTAAAATTTTCGTACTGATAATGAAACTAGAGTTATTTCTATAAGTAAAGTTGTTTAATAAAAACAAAATGAGAAATAAATAAATAAATATCTCACACAAATGTTTTTGCTTAAACATTTTCAACTATACCACTGACTAATCTTCCAAATTACATAAAATAAATAAAATTAAGAATTGTTTTATTTTAATTTTAAATGGGAATAAAAAAACAAAATGTTTAATTTTTATTTTATTTATATAATAACAACAACATTATAATAAAAGATATATAAAACTTGATTAAATATTCTTTAATTTCTGTAAAATTAGTTTAATTTTAATTTTGATATTGTAGTTTTTTAAAATATTTATAAAAAATTTAAACTTCCTATAAATTTACCCCTATTTCAAGTTAAAATACTATATTAAATTAATATTTATTTATTACAATTAAATTGTTTTTAAGTTATCAAGTGGAATATAAATTAAAAAATTACAAAAATATGAGTGCTAATAAAAATATTCATTGAATAAAAATTATAAAAATTCAAGATAAGTAACTTAAAAATAATGTGATATAATAAATTATATTTTTTTTAAGTCAAAAAATTGTTGCATTTAACAACCAATAGTAAAATCTACTTAATGACCAATATTGGCCACCTTTATCGATAGTTTGGTCACTAATATTTTTGTGTTAAATAATCAGTGATCAAAATTTTGATCTAGGCCAATATTTTTGTTATTGATATTTATATTTTTAAATCAATTAGTAACCAATATTTACAATATTAGTAACAAAATATTTTCTTGTTAATATTTTTTATTTAAATTATTTAATAACCAATATTTTGGTCGTAAATTATTAATTATCAATATTTTTATCGTTAATTTATGCTTGAAATAAATTAGAAACTAAATTTTGGTTAATAAATTATTACAATCAAACAATATATTTTTCCGATAACATTTATTTTAAATTAATTTTTGACCAACATATTGATTGCTAAATTATTAAAACTAATATTTTCGTCGTTAATATTTTTATTTCAAATAAACAAGGTACAACAATTTTGATAGTTAAATTATTATTAACCTAACTTGTATTTACATTAATAATATTTTTGTTTAAAATTAGTTAATTATTAATATTTTGATGGTTAAATTAATAGGGAATAATATTTTCGTTGCATATTCTTTTTAAGATAAGTTAGTGACTAAAATTTTGCTCAACTAAATTATTAGCTACCAAACCAAAATATTCATCGTTAAATTTTAATTTGAAATGCGACTAATATTTGTCACTAGACCATCATTTTCTCTACTAATGTTTTTTTTAAATAAACTTTGCAACTAAAGTTTTGGTTATTAGTAATCAATATGTCAGCCGCTGAGAAGAAAAAATTGTCACATACGTATAAAAAACAAAATAAAATTTATATATTATTATAATTACATAATTTATTGGTTTTATCTTATATTAAATATAATATATTATTATTATTATTATTTTATGTACATTGAACACAAGTACAATTAAAACTTATCATCTTTTTTATTTTGCTGCCATGCTCTTATATTTGTTCTCTGTTATTTCGGATCCTAAAGAAACTATTTCAGGTTTATTCTTTAAATAAGAGAAGTAGATCAAAATAAATAAGTGAAATAAAAAAATATTTTATTTCGAAGCGATTTAAAATTTCATCAATGTACCATACATAACATATTTAATGAAGAAAAATTAAGGAAAATTATAAATAAAACTAAGTGGGAGTTATTATTATTATTTTTTTATATTCCTCGTATCTTTTAATTTATTTATTTTTTCAGCTAAATGTCTTCATTTTTTTTTAACTTTTTATTCTTCTTATTGTTTCTACAAAATTTATTTTCCTCTAACCAAATAAACAGGTATAGTAATTTTTTTTTCTATTACATCTTTTCTTGATCCATTAGACCAGCAATTAATATAATTTAAAGAATTTTGGTAGTCACTTCACGCATTTTCACGTGTTGAACATGAGTTTTTTCATTATATAAATCAGTGTTTTTATAAATTATAACTATATTTATTATCACTTTGATTATTATAAAAAATATATAATTATTTTTTTTTTCAGTACATAGGTCATCATTATAACATAAATGTGACATGTTTAAATTCAACGTACCATCTCTCTATTTGTAGCACATCTTTAGTCTATAAAAATAGCAAAGAAATTCATAATACTTAAAAAAGTATTCATTCACTTAGTTGTTTGGTAAGAATATAATAAATTATTGGTAGGTTACTTAATTATTTATTCATTCTTCATTTATAATTTAAAGTTATTTATTATTTTAAAAGATATAAAATAAGAATTTAAAAAATCATATCATCAATTTATCATTGATTTTATTCTGGTGAATTATTCGATAAAATAAATATGAAAAAAAAAGTAACTTATCATATTATATAATTATTATTTTATTTAAGAAAAATATAAGACCAAAATCCCAAAATATTATAATTATTATAATATTGCAAAATATCATATAATTATTCGTTTTCAAATTCAAAGAGAGAAATATAAGACAAAAATAAATATTATAATTATCAATATTAATCCCAAAATCAATAAATTAAACTGAGTGTGGATATTATTCCCGTTTTGCTTGGGTGATATTATTCCCAAAAGTGACCAATTCGGTAATTTTCTTTTTACTCAACAAATTAAATTAAATACATCTCCAATCTTTCCTTATTTCTATCCATTGGGCTAATAGCTAATCTTGTGTTAATCACACTGATTGACAAATACTTTTATTTTTTAAATATTTTAGGATTTTTATTTAAATGCTTTTTCATATGTTGAATGCGATAATTACTTTTATTCTTTCGAAACGTTATTCATTTTTAGCTGTCAGAAATTAATTATAAACTTTTATTTTTAATCAATATTGCAAATTAAGAAACTTATTAGTCAATATTTAAGTTGATGATTCTACCAATAATTATAATTAATGTACGATATATACCAACCATAACAAACCAAGTTGATGCATATTCATCCCTTCTTGACTATAGTCCAAAATTTAAGACCATAATTTACTCACACCACTGAATCTCACCTAGAGGAAGGAAAGAACAATTATTTAAGGGGTTAAATTAAAAAATGTTTTTTTATTTTTATTTTATTTTTTAGTGTGCTAAATAATGTGGTAAAAATAATAATATAGAGAATGAAGTTATATTTAAGCAGATTAGACGTTGTTACCTAACAAAAATCAATAATGGACATGCCAGCTCAATTGTAATTCGAAACCCACTTTTACTTTTAAATTTAACCACCACATTTAAGGATTTATTTTTCCATTTTGGGTGCCTATTTAAATAAAAACCTTGCATAGCATACCAAACTAAGAAAAAATAAAATAAAAAATAAAGTCACCCTACGCTGAATAGTTGAATGAGATAATATTCCAAAGCGCGCAACCCTTGGAATGGAATTGAATAACGATCCATATTTGTCCACATTCAAAAATTGTTCACCCTCCAAACATTAAAAAGGAAAAGCCTCACGCACGGGCTAAACTGCTAGGTAATCATCAAAATTCTAAATTCCCAAATTACTCAAAATATTTTCCCATTTTTGACACGTGGGCCCTCGCTTTGACGGGTGCACGGTACTATTCAACACTTGACCGCACCGGGCAGTCTCCGAAAGCTCATCAACGGCTAGAAATTCGAAATTGTGGATGATGGGAAGAATGCCAACCTGGCAGAGTGGCGCCCAGGGGAAGGAGGGTGGAGACGCACGCGCGTGATGAGATGAGAGCTTCATAAAGTGTGTGGCACTGTTCCCTTCTCCTTCGTATTCGTGTTCGTAATATTCATATTCATATGCATTGTAACTCCAAAGCGTGTCACTCTGCTCTCATTACTCTTTTCTTTTCTCTTTCTCTAGACAAGGAATCAATTACCCTGTTCACGTTTTCTCACAACCAGAAAAAGCCTACAAACCAAGCAAATCATCATCTTTCTCCTTCCCTCAATCATGCCCCTGTCATACCATAACACAACACAACTCTCATCATCATCATCATTCTAGATCACCTACCTTCCATGGCAGCTTTTCAACCTTCCTCTATTTCCCACACCTAAAACAAACCCCTAACCCCCTACCCCACCACGCTTTACTCCCTGTTCCTCACCCTCCCATCTCATCATTCCCTTTCGCCCGTGCTGTTCCAATTTAATTGCACACCCAACATGTACGCCCGCGACATTGCAAAGACACAACACAAGTTCAGGTTCCAAAACGACGCTAAAAACCCCTCCTTTTCCTCCTCCCTCCTCGACACAATCTACCGCTCCATCGACGAAGGAGAGAGGAGGACCAACGACATGAAGTTCCACACCCAAACAATGGTCAAGAAACAGAGCAGACTCCTCGTCGAAGAAGAGTTAACGGCGGCCAGCATTCGCCGCGCTTGTTTGGTGGAAAAATGGAAAGGAAGCGAGAAGACAGTGAAAGCACAAATGGAGAGAAAATCAAAATCATCGCGCTTGCATCGTCACGATCACGACCAGGAGGTAATGTTCTTCACTTCAACTTCCAGTTCCTCGGATTCCAGCTCTGGGTTGTTGTCCTCCTCTGACACAGAATCCTTGTACGGATCGAGGTCGCGAGTTTCGTGTTTTGCTCCTTCGAGACCAAAGCCATCGATGACGTCAGCGGGCAATGAAGAGCGTTTGATCAAGTCAAAATCGAGGGCGTTGAAGATCTACAACAATCTGAAGAAGGTGAAGCAACCCATCTCTCCTGGGGGGAAGCTAAGTACTTTTCTTAACTCTCTGTTGGGGAACGCGAAGAAAACCAAAACCTACGACGAAGCAAAACCCAAGTCGGGACAAGAATCCACGTGTTCCTCTGCGTCCTCGTTCTCACGCTCTTGTCTGAGCAAGGCTTCGCCTTCCTCCAACAAATTGCGCGACGGGGTTAAGCGAACGGTGCGTTTTTACCCTGTGAGCGTGATCGTGGACGAGGATAGTCGACCGTGTGGGCATAAGTGTCTGTATGAAGAAGACGCCACGCGCGTAATGGCAGTGTCCATGCCAACCGTGTGGAAAATTGGACGCAACAAGAACGAAGAAGAGGAAAAGGTCGTGGATAAGAGCAGGCGCGTGGAGGAGGCCGCTAGAGAGTTTTTGAAAGAGTACCATCGAAACCAGAAGAAGAACAATTTGATTAAGTTGAGGGATTTTCCTAATGCGGTGGAAGATGACGATGAGGATGATACCGATGATGACGATGCAGCGAGTTATTCAAGTTCGGATCTGTTCGAGCTCGATCACCTTGAAGTGATGGGAAACAATAGGTATCGCGAGGAGCTTCCTGTGTACGAGACCACTCATGTTAGTACTAATCGCGCCATTGCTAATGGCCTCATATAATGTAGTTTCTGTCCATTACAATCCTAGTATCATAATAAACTACACAGATTACACATATATATATATATTATAATCATTGTGTTTTTTCTGTTCATCATCACTCAAAATCAATGTATTATCATCTTCATAACCGTTTGTCTATGCAAGATATCGAGGCGAATTAAGGCTGCGTTTATTCAAGACGAAGTGTTATAGTTTTAAGTAATCATAAACCAGTAAAATAGTATTCTGTATTATGTATAAGTTTAATGGCTTTTGTGCACAATCATGGAGTATCCTAAGTAAATGGTTTGATTCGTTTACCAAATACATACATACCCTGTAACTGGGTTTGTGATTATTATGTTGTGTGTTTGTGGCGGTGTGAAGTGAAGCTGGGTAGTAGGTGGTTGGGCTAAGCCACATTGCAATACATGTCGTGTAGAGTAACTTTATTGGTTTGTAGAAGTACGTATCTAGGAAGGCGTGCGTGTGTACCTGTCATAGAATGTTGCTGAGTGAGGGAGACTATGATAAAAAGCACAGTAGCTGCGTGATTTATAAAGTGAGTAGGGTACTTGGTTTTCTAAAAGGAGAGAGAGAGGTGGGGATGTGTTAATTCTCGATCACGATCACGATCAAACATTCACACAGATACTGACAGAGTAGTTGGAGGAAGGAGGAAAAAAAAAAAAAAAGAGGAAGAGGAAAACGAAAGATTCGAGATCGTAATCACAAGCAAAATGGAGAGAGTGTGATGGTAAAGGGAAAGGCAGATCTTCGCCCATGGGAATAGAGAAAGTGAATACTAAAGCTTATGCTTTCTTATTTTCTTTCTTTCATCCCCTCTGGAATTCCTATTTTGTATTGGCCCCGTTACTTGCAGGTTGCGCAACCCTTGAAAAATAAATGACACCGTTTTCATGTTTGTTTTTCTATATTTGGTTTTCAATTTAAAAATGGTGTGCTTTGATGGGGTTTGATTGTTAGGAGTTGTTATTTCATGGTGGCAATGGATGATGTTGAGTGATGAGGGGAAGAGTGCAGTTAGTTTTGTCCTTTGTTTTGAGGAGTTGTTGGTACATAGTACAATGCAAACTCTGCTAAAAATGATGGTGTTGAAAGCAAATACAAGTCACTGATGCGCGGTAAAGTAAGCAATTATTGTTGTGGGGTGTTAAGATGTTGATTAATCACAGCCACACAGGACACCACTCTGGTCAATACCCATCACTATTTCTTGTACTTAACAACCCACAAAGTTATCTTCTCATTATAATAACTATTTATTTTATATTTTTACTCTATTCTACTTAAAATAAAATATCCTATGTCCTCTAAAAATGCTTGAATCATTGTTAAGCTTTTCTCATTTTAAACATATCTTATGTCAGATTATTATTATTATTATTTTCAACTAGAGATGGTTAAAGTTTTCATAATTAAAACAAATTAAATTATAAAGATTAAGAATCCAAACTCTATAAACTAAAAGCAAATTATAATTTCATTGTTCATGTCCAAACCTATTAAAGAGTCCACAAGAAGCTCTCTTTTCGCCAACCTAGGGTGATAAAAGATTGTTCACGTCCAAAGATATTAAAGATCTCTCTATATTATTGAGCGTGATTGGATCCAAAGGTCAAACTCACCAACAATGAAAGTGAACACTTTGTTATGTTTAGTTGGTGAACATAACGACACTTTCATATCTCTAATTGATACTTCAGCTCCATATTTCTTCAAATAATAAACCTAAAAATCATTCATAAATGTTAATTAAGAGGTGTTGGCATCATTATACTGAAAACTGCAATTATATAAATTTTGGTACAATTATAAAAGGAGAAACAAAGAAATAAAAGTTATAAAAGTGTGGTGAAATAATTAATGTGACGAAGAGAAAAAATTATAAGAAGATCGATAGTAAATATAATGTTACCTTATTTAAAATTATCGATAACATAGAAAAGCGAAGCAACGTAGGGTTCATTGCTAGTAGACCTAATAATAGCCTACTCAAAAAAGCATATATAATTAAGATTACTACGTGACGAGCATGCATATGGCTGCAAAATGCAGGAAGACCCACATAAAAAGAATCTCTCCCTAAGGCAAAATATCAACATTCTTATCATTTACAAACCAATATATTTACCTCTTGTTCGTAAGAAAAACAAAATCACATGAAACAATCTATTATTACTATATCTTAAATTGAAGAAAAAAAAGAAAAGAAAATGAGAACAGACTCGAAGATTAAAAAACAAACTCTTCTTGGTTAAGGGTTTCCGTACAGTGGTGAGTTGGAGAAGTAGCCTAGCAATGAGGAGAGGAATAAAATTTTGCTGGCTCCTCCAAAAGACTACGTCTTTCTTTAAAAATAAAAAAGGATAATGATTATTATCGCATAATTTTCTCTTATATATATTTTTTTCTTTTCTTACATTATTGATAATGGTTTATTTTCTTTTTATCTTTCGTTTCTTTTCACTACACCTAAAGAAAATTATGCAACAAGTCATCATTGTCCAAAAACTATACACGGTTGAGAGAGTTTGCATAAACAGAATATTATATATTAATTAAATAGCTATATATGCACATGTTACGGCATCAATATATTCATTTTTTGAATTTTAATTGTGATTGTGGGTATCGAGATTGACTCGGTTGTTACTGAAAAACGTGATAGTTATAATCATAATATTCCCTTCGTTCGGACTTATGATCCCTATACCCTAATAGTATTTATTATATATATATGTAGCCCTTCGGTTAGAGGGTGTACTACAAAAGTCAAATAATGCTGCTATATATCCTATTCTGTGTAATTGGAAGATAAAATAACAAAATTAGAAGAAATAGAAAGAACTCTAGAAAAGATTTGCAGACAACTCTTTATGAACCTTTGAAAAGTGGAGCTACATTTGAGCAATAGAGTCAGGGTCCACCCAATGAATAATTATATCTAATAAATCACGCCAAAATTTATTCATTTTGAATTTAAATTAAATAAACTAGATACAGGTTTCCCATTTGAATAGTATTTACATTAATTATAATGAACTAAAAAAATTATTTGTGTAAATCAACAACTCCTATGTCCATATATCCGAAAAAAATTTGAGTTTTCTACAACGAGAGATTCATTTAAAAAAATAAAAATTAATTATTATGAATCAATAGTCATTATTGTATTATCTCATTTTAGAAAACTCAAATATTTTGCTTAACGCTAGATAATCGTTACGTGCATAACATGTTACATGCAGAATATCTTGTCTGAAAACTTAACATCAACCATCCTCGACAAATCTAACTCCTTCATCCTAGGTAGATACTTGTTCCCGCCGTTTTTCAAATGTTTGTTTCCGAAATAGTTTTCTGGGTACGTATGATACAAATTGTTTTGACTTATGATAATGATTTAATCAACCACCCTGCCGTTTTGTGAAGGTCGAAATTTGTAGGCAACATTTCCATCTTCATAAAATGGAAATACAACAAATTTGGCCAGCAGAAAATCTGTCCCATTCTTCAACTGTATGATTAATTTATTTCAGTAAAAAAAATGGACACTAAAATTATTCTCCACATCCGTTCAACACCTCTATTATTATTATTATTATTATTATTATTATTATTATTATTATTATTATTATTATTATTATTATTTATAAAAAAAATTAACACCTAACACATTTTTGGTGTTTTTGTTCAGGTGTTCGATAAAAACAACGAGTAATACCTAGTATGTCACTATTAAAAAAATAGATGTTTATCCAAATTAATTATCAATATATAATTATTATGTTTAAACTAATAAATCATATAAATTGGATCTAAAAATAATTAAAGAGTGTGTTCCAAAGATTGTGGGTCCTGGTATGCATTTGTGGTGATTGATTTTTTGTCGTAGTAAAAAGGTTTATTTTGGTATGAAAGCAACCGAAGGGAAGGTGCATGAGAAAGTCCGTCAAGGTTGTCGTCTGCACTTGAGCCTGCACTTCAATATTTAACAACGAAAAGGGTGCAAATTTAATGCTCGTGTTTAAGACACCCTTTACGACCACTCATATATGCTTCATTAGTCATTCCCTCCTCCTACACGGAGAAAAGTAATTGAAGCCATCCACAAGATGAATTCAAGTCAGAGCCAAAGGACTCAGCACAACCTTTCTCGCCAATCATCGAAGTCGAAGAGTGGATGCTGTCGAGGCTTCAGCAGTGTTGAGACTGTGTCATCCACCGCACCAACCTTGCAACACCATCAGCTTCAGCAGCGTTTCCAAAAATTGGAACTAGAGGTACCTGCTCTTTCTTCATGTAAATTACTTCTCATTGTCCTTTTCACCACTCCTATGTCATTGGAAATGAGTTGAATTAGGTGGCAGGTTTGGAAAAAGAGGTGAGAAGGCAGACAGAACTGCGAGTGATGTATAGGAAGAGAATGGAAACCACGCAAGATTACTTGAAATATTGTCTCCAAATAGCACAAGAAAATGGAATCATGGACCTCATTATCCACTCCAAAGGTGAACTCTCACAATCTCCCCTCTCTCTGCATACCGTCAACTCCACTCCCACAACACCTCAAATCCCCACTCCTTCGCACCACCACCCCAATCTAATGGCCATCGTTGATCAAGCTAAAACCAACGGATGGTTCATTAACCCTAGCGAGGTCAGTAACTACGTTCTGTCTTCCCATTAGTAATTGAAATATGCCCTAGAATTTATGAAAAATTTGAATTATTAATGGACAGATTCAATTGGGAGAAAAAATAGGGCAGGGAACCACGGCGGAGATTTATAGAGGGACGTGGCGCGGATTTGACGTGGCGGTGAAGTGCATGTCTGCTGCATTCTTCAGCAAAAATGAAAACGGTGTCGTATTCTTCGCTCAGGAGGTTGAAACCCTCTCGAAGCAGCGTCACCGGTTTGTGCTTCACCTCATGGGTGCGTGTCTGGAGCCACCGCATCATGCATGGGTGGTTACCGAGTATCTGAACACCACGCTCAAGGAGTGGCTTCATGGGCCGGGCAAAAGGCCCAAAGACAGAACCCTGCCACTTCCTCCCTTCAAAGACAGGGTGATGCGGGCCCTGGAAATAGCCCAAGCCATGCAGTATCTCCACGAACAAAAGCCCAAGGTGATTCATCGGGACTTGAAGCCCAGCAACATCTTCTTGGACGATGCCTTGCATGTAAGAGTGGCGGATTTTGGACACGCACGGTTCTTGAGTGATGACGAAATGGCCCTCACTGGAGAAACAGGCAAGTTCGATCGACAAATACATGTTGTGGTGATGAGACCGACCTTAATTTGGAATTTAAGGTCCTTAACATTAGGGTTCTTTTCATTTTGCAGGAACATATGTGTATATGGCACCGGAGGTAATTCGGTGCGAGCCCTACAATGAAAAATGTGATGTATACAGTTTTGGAATCATACTGAACGAGTTACTTACTGGAAAATACCCTTATATTGAGACAGAATTTGGTCCCGCCAAGGTAATCACATCAAATTCCAACTTTTGAATACTTGTCTGGTTTATTTTTTTTATGCACAGTAGTTCGCTTAGGTAACTAAAATCATGTTTTTGAAAACGTCCTTAGATTGCCATGGAAGTGGTGGAGAATGAGCTAAGGCCTGTACTTGCATCAGGGGACGATGGTGAGCAACTGGGAGAGGTGATTGACCTAATATGCCTTTGCTGGAATTCAAACCCATCCACTCGACCATCATTCGCAACAATTAGTCACACCCTCAAATGTTATGTCAAGAGGGTCCTTCAACTTTCAAATTAGTGCACCAAATATCAACTCAACTATTTCCTGATTGGAAAAGGAGCATAATTAAGCATTTTCATGATGATCGTACGAATTTTATTTATTGAATTAATAAAATCTATTTGGTAAAACGCAACATCAATAACTCATTTAACATATAGAATTCAAATATCTTATTAATTTTGTTACGAAGGAAGGTATATCTACAGAGTGGAAATATTAAATAAAAAGATTTTCTGGAATATTCGCTAAAAATATGGAGACCAATATAATTTATATCAAGACTAACCCAACATTTGAATAAAGATTGACCTCGTTCTAAAATCAATAAAATACATATTGGTGGGAGGAGGAGATGGTGATGATTTGTGATGCAAATTAGAGAGTAAAAAACATTATTAATTTTGCTGTACATGGTTACAAAGTTGAGTTGTATTTGTGATACGATGATGATTGATTTTCAAAAACTTGGAATATTACGAATCTATGTTCTGTAACATCCGCTTATCATTGTTCTCCACCCGACAGTATGCTGGCAATAGTGCTTTTTGTAGCTGGTTCCTTTCCTTTATGTCATAATTTGTTCAGCCAAACAAATATTGTTTCTGTCCATAATTTGAGATATTATTCGATTTTCCGAGCTCATGTCATAACCCTTGGTGTTTCTGATTTTGAAATCACACGAAGAAGTCACAAGGCACCAAAAACTTACGTAAGACGATTGCCACCTGATAAGAGGAAAATCCCAAATATGTTTTGGATTACCACGTTTTCTACTGTACATCCCTTAATATTTCTTGAGTTGAAAACTTGACGAATTCAACAAGTCAAATAATATTTATTAAAAACTGTTATAAACCATAACATATATTCATGTTAATCTTATTTTAACTTAATCATAACATATATAAAATTCATATATTAAAATAATAAATTTAAAACATCATATTTTAAGTTCAACGGTAATAAGTAAAATTCATTGATAATCATAAACTTCTTTAAGAAAACACAGCTAAAATCGGTTGACCTTTTCAACCCATCAATTCATCTATTATTTTCTTTAAAAATATCAGAAATTCTAAAGTTTATTCCCTAAATTAGATCCACAATATTAATTTATCTGTTCCTTGATCTTCCAAGGAACAAACATATTATTACTAATAATTAACCGTACAACATTTTTAGACTCGCAAAAGAAATATTAAACTCCTTTTTAAAGGAAAGATAATAATTATAAACTTTTATTTTAAATACTTGTGATATTAATATCTCTTATTTAAAAATTTGTATATATAAAAATTCATACAAATGAGAATACGTTTGATAAAGATAAACACACATTTTTATAAATTTAAAAGATATGAAGTATATGTTAATATAAATTATTTAAACGCATATTAATATATAAAGTAACATATAAAATAAAAGTATAATATTAATTTGATATTTGAAATATCATTTTCTTCTCTATTTAGTCCCAAAGTACTGAAAAATATTATTAAAAGTCCGTAATTTTTTTAAGACATACGTCTCACTGGTTCCTCTTAATGAACTTGTCTTTAAAGTTAGTTAATAGTTAAATTTGAGTTTAATTTATCTTTTTGTCTAAAGTGTGTATCTATTTAATTTCTCTTCTAAAAAACAAAATACATGGATATGATAATTTAGAATTAAAAATTTTAAACTGGAAGTGTTCTTAAAACAAGTATTAGTTTTCTCATGATTTTATTTTGCATTTGAATAATTGAATATTATTTCCATTATGACATTTCTAATAGATATAACTCATCTTAAAAAAATTATAAAATAATAATTTATAATATCACATTATTTTTAATCATCTCAGATTGATTTAACTTTATTATTTTTTTTATAAATTTTAAAAAATTTATTCTTTCTTCTATTCTATTTTCTTATTTATTTTAATTTGTTTGTTTTTATAAATTATTATAAAAAAATTTAAGTGGCACGACGTGCTCTTATTTTCTTAGCGAGGAATTGCAAATATATGAAATTTTTTTTTACTGCAAATATAAAAAAATATCTCCACCAATTCAAAGTCTAACCTTATGAGTCGGAGATGAAGTTGGATGCAAAAAGTGCATGCTGTGAGTGACGACTATGGATTATGTTTGTTGAGTAAACAATACCTGCTCCACTATTTGTTTATTTATATTACATCCACAGAGACTTCTACTCTGTTTCGCTTGGCCTTTCTTGGGACCTGGGATGCAAATCCAGAGTTTCTTCCGCAGCAACTCACTCCCAAGTTTCACATTCCCCCATTCTGCCATCCATTTCTCTCTCTGCTCCAAAGTCTAAAGACTCCAACTTTCAATTATTCTTCCTCCTTGCCCCCAAAACTTGGCCGTTGATTTTGACTCTCGTGTAAGCACAGTCACCCTTATCCCAGTTTCCCGTTTTCCACTGATTCATTGGTGTCAAACTAGACCTGTGTCTGTGTCTGTGTTTTTCCAACCTTTGCTGCCAACCAACTTTATCTGTCATCCACTGTTTACTATCTTACATAACTAGTTACAGCTCCACCTGATCTGTTTCTTTCATACTTTATTATTCTTTTATTAATTTACACCATTTTCTCTAGTACTACTGGTCAAATACAAGTTGTTCCTGGTATATACCATTAACATTTTAAAAGGAAAAAAAAAAAAACAGCTACAATAGTAGACTAACGTCAGTGTTTTTCTTTTCTAGTGATTACTTGTTAATTTCGTCAACTTTGTATTTTTGGCATAGGGTTATGAATGGATGTTAATTATAAGAAGCAGGGTCTGCAAGGCGGCGAAGTGAGCATGGCTGAGAAGAAAAGGGAAGTGATGTTGGCGATTCCGAATGAGGGTGGTGATGAATCTTTGATGCCAAAGCAGCAGAGCCGGGTGAATTCGCCACACAGAATGTTAAACGACAACGAGTTTGCTGCAAAGTCGCCACCTTTGAACTGTTCTTCCCCTGAGATAAGGTTCATGCCAAGCCCAAACAAGCCCCCAAAGGTTCCCACTTCCAGCGCCAATCTCACCCGGAGAAAATCTCTCACAAGGTCAGTCTATTCCAAACCTAAATCGAGGTTTGGTGAACAGCCTTACCCCGTTGATGGGACCCTTTTGGAAGAGAATGGTGCCTCAACGTTGCAAGAAAATTTGACTGTTGGTTCACCATATAAAGCATCGCCTAATAACAACAATAAACCTGCTGCAACTGTTAATAGAACAGTCTCCATCCTTTCTGTGATAACTCCCAAGACGCCATTGATGGCGTCTCCAGGGCCGGCCGGCGGGGAGGATTTCGATGAAATCATTTACAGGAAAGTTGAATTGAGTAAAAGCAAGCGTACTAAGAGAGTGACAGCTATGGTTTTGTTTGAATGGTTTGTGTTTGTGTGCATTGCAAGTAGTTTGGTGGCTAGTTTAACAGTTGGAAAACTTAAAAGAACGGAGATTTGGGGTTTGGGGATTTGGAGGTGGTGTGTGCTTGTGATGGTGACCTTTTGCGGCATGTTGGTTACCAGATGGTTCATGCGCATTGTTGTTTTCTTGATTGAGACTAACTTTTTATTGAGGAAAAAGGTGCTGTATTTTGTTCATGGACTGAAAAAGTGTGTCCAGTTCTTCATTTGGCTTGGTTTGGTTCTTCTCACATGGGTGCTGCTGATAAACCCCGGGGTCCACCGATCTGAATTGGCAACAAAGATTTTGGATGGCGTAACATGGACTCTTGTTTCCGTCCTCATTGGAGCATTCCTTTGGTTCGTGAAGACATTGTTGCTGAAGCTTTTGGCGTCAAATTTCCATGTTAAATCTTTCTTTGATCGAATTCAAGAATCACTCTTTCATCAGTACATTCTGCAGACTCTCTCTGGGCCACCGCTTGTAGAAGAGGCTGAGAAGGTCGGGGCATCGCTCAGTGTTGGTCGCTTTAGTTTCAAGAGTACAGATGGTAAAGGTGGAACGAAGAAAGAGACTATTGATATAGCGAAGCTTCACCAGATGAAACAAGAAAAGGTTTCTGCATGGACTATGAAGGTCTTGGTGGATGCAATGACAAATTCAGGGCTGTCCACAATCTCTAGTGCACTAGAGGAAAGTTTTGATGATGGAGAAAATGAACTGACTGATAAAGAGATTTCTAATGAGATGGAAGCAACTGCTGCAGCCTATTACATTTTCAGGAATGTTGCTGCCCCTGGTTGCAAGTAAGGATATGTGTGCACTGTTACTTCTAGTTGCTTGTAAAATGTGTTTGTCCCCCTTTTTGTGATATTTGCCTCTCTTGTTTCTCCTAAATAGTTCTGTCCTTGTGAATAGGTACATTGATGAGGATGAACTTCGGAGGTTCATGATAAAGGAAGAAGTGCGGATGGTATATCCCTTACTGGCTGAAGCCGAAACCGGGCAGATTACCAGGAAGTCCTTAACAGACTGGTTGGTAAGGTCTTCTATATCTGCTCATCTAAAACATTGTCTTGATAATGAAAGGATTGGAATTCTGTTTGGGATGCAAACATATCACTCATTAATGTTTGTGATTATTTGTGTTCTTCAGTTGAAGGTATATCAGGAACGCAAAGCATTGGCACATGCCTTAAGCGACACCAAAACTGCTGTGAAACAACTAAACAAGCTCGTTACAGTAATCCTAGTAGTGGTGACCATAATTGTGTGGCTTCTACTAATGGAGATTGCAACTACAAAAGTACTTGTATTCCTCTCTTCCCAGCTAGTACTTGCAGCTTTCATGTTTGGAAACACTTGCAAAAATATATTTGAAGCTATCATCTTTGTGTTTGTGATGCATCCATTTGATGTTGGTGATCGATGTGTTGTCGATGGGGTTGAGGTAATCTATAGCCACTAAATTTTGTTTCCTTGTTTGAGATTTGCATATTAATGCATTTTGTTAACCTGGCAGCTATTGGTTGAAGAAATGAATATATTGACCACAGTCTTCTTGAAGCTTAATAATGAAAAGGTGTACTATCCAAATTCCCTCTTGGCCACGAAACCGATTAGCAATTATTACCGAAGCCCAGATATGGGTGACCGTGTAGAGTTCTCTATTGATTTTACAACACCAGCTGAAAAAATTGGGGCACTGAAAGAAAGAGTGAAGAGGTAAGCTAATTCTATCTTCATGGGTAAATGGGTATTCTCTTTAGAGTCATTTAATTTTGTCTACAAACTTAAAACTCACCTCATCAAATCATTTAGTTATGACTTCCGAGTATTATTGGTCCATCCATGGATCATGCAACAACATATGAACTACTAAAGGAAATAGAAACATTAAATACATGCCTTCGAAGAGTATGTTATCTTGTTTTATTGCAAATGAAAGTGTGCATCTCAAAAGGAGGATAGATGGGGATGGGGTGTGCACAATTTTTCCTAGGTTTTCTTCGCACTAGATTTTAAAAACGACTGCAGTTTTTGTCTGCAAATTCGGATGAACACTCTTTTTCCTGTCATGCCCCACAGTATTTCTGTGCTTTTCTTCGTTATAATGTGTTTTTATAAAATTAGGTACCTGGAGAGAAATCCACAATACTGGCATCCTAATCATGGCTTAGTGGTTAAGGATATTGAAGACGTAAACAAGATTAAGATGGGTATAAACGTTACTCACACAATGAACTTTCAAGAGTTTGGGGAGAAAACCAAGAGAAGAACTGAATTGGTGATGGAAATAAAGAAAATATTTGAAGAACTCAACATCAGATACAACCTTCTACCACAAGGCATTCATCTCAGACATATGGAGCCAGATCCTGGGGTGAACAATATATGATTCAACTGCATACATGTGCGCCTCCTCTGTTTCATTTCATCTGTGAAATACCATTGGTCGGTACATGCCTTAGTATTAACAATTTACTTTCCACATATGGTATGATTAACATGGATATTTTCAAGACTCTTGTACGAACCTTCAAGTGGATCCAATGTAAAAATTTCGTCCCACACACAATTCATCTCTATCATCGGCATTATTTGTGATGTCTGTCGTGTGGTGCTTGGCTTCTATTTTCTGTCATCGCTGGATTCTTTCTCTTTCTCTCTGGGGTCTAGTAAATGATATATATATATATATATATATTTGTGTGTGTGTGAGTGTGTGAAAGGCTAACTGTATCTGTAGATGAAAAAAAATCGCCTCTTGTGAATTGCTCTGGTTTTTCGTTTTCTTATTTACACTATAATATAACACTCTTTTAATTTATTTTTCTGATTTTTTTAGGAAAATAAATAAATTCATACACGTACTTATATAACCAAATGAGGTCAATTCTTGTTTTCAGTATTTTTATCTATCTATGGTTCCTCCCGACGATCAATCATTAAAAAAAAAAATAGAGAAACTAAAAATGAATAATTTGAAATTTGACAATTTTTTTTTTTTTACAAGTTAAATGTTATTCTGTTAGACAGTTTCATGAAATTTTATAATTATATTTTAAAAAATTAAATATGTCTTACTTGCTACCATTTCTCTAACCAGCAAGAACTATTGTAGAATGCAGGGTTGACCCTTAAGTGTGAGGTCTTAATTGGATCATGTATCAGATTATGATATCCTTATCTCCCAATAGGAAGTAGAGAATCTCCCACGTAGGATAACCTACAAGTGCCACGTAATCAGAAAATCTCGAGTTGTGTCCATTTCATTATCCAGTCCTGAGCTCCACCTCTTGAGCAGAATCTTGAGGCCAGATCAGGTAAGCACAACCAAGGCAACACCTGAGATGGCTTCTGCTACTGCTTCTGCTTCTGCTTCTGTTCCAGTAGTGGCTTTGTCTCTAACCTCAATTACCCACAGCAAGCCTTCATCCCAAGCCTTCTTCAGGCCATTACCCCTATCCCAACCAAAGAGGACCCTCTCCACAAAGCCACTGTCAAAGTCCAACTTTCAAATTAACGCATCTTTGAAGGAGAAGGCAGTGACAGGACTCACAGCCGCAACCTTCACAGCCTCTATGGTGATCCCAGAGGTGGCCAATGCTGCTGGATCCGACTTCTCCCCTTCTCTCAAGAACTTTCTGCTCAGCATCTTCGCTGGTGGGGTTGTGCTAGTAGCCATATTTGGAGCAGTTGTTGGAGTTGCCAACTTTGATCCGGTTAAGAGAACTTAAACTATGCTTTGTTTCTTTTAATTTCTCTTGCCTTTCTCACTGTTCTCGTTTCTTGCTCCATCTACGTTTATGCAACTGGTTCTGTTATATGCATACTATATATCTCAGCTGCACTTTCTCTTGTATCCTCCTGCTTCTTTAATATATAATAACTGCGTTTGAAGCGGGGTTCAACATGTTTATGCTTTATATTTTTTTTTATATTCAATGAACTGCGCAGTTTGTCGGTCAAAAACTATTATCAGAATACTGAAATCTTGATTCACACTGTAGCAAAACAAATGTCATGGGTTCAGCGTTCCACTACAATGATCCTAACTTACATGCAGGAAACAAAATGATGAAAAATCGCAAATTGTTGATTGAATTTTTAATTGACGTGTCTCGTTACTTTTGCATGTTTCGAGCCTCCACCCACTCCATCTTTGTGTTCTGTAACGAAAATTATTTCTTACTTTCTAAGTGTTGTACCGAGTTCCTTGGAACATAGTGTCACACGGAAAATAAATGTGACTTTGGTTCATGAACAAATACATTAAGTGCGGATATTGATATCAGTATAATCTGAGTTATTCATCGAACTGTCAAGTTGTGCCAATTTGGTTGTCACTGAATCAATATCTTCTATTTTGTTCCATGATTATGGTTAATCCGGATGTACATTTTCAATTGTGCTTATTGAAGTGTTCAATCACAAAGAAAAAAATACTTACGATCGTGAAATAGTCATATTCATGGTACCTGATGCAAGGAAAACTAATAATAATTAAATATGATCTTTAATCTAACGATCAAATATAAAATAATCTCAAACAGTAAATATGTTATAAACTAAATGCGAAAGCGTACCTGAATTAGCCATAATGATGATGTTCCTTTTAGAGCACTATTGATCTTATGGTCTTCCACCTGAAGAACACCTGTATTTCCCTCTTGATTTTCTCTCTTGATGGGGATAGAAAAAAAAGAACGGAAATGTAACTGTGTTCTGTTTGTGTGCTTCCAAAAGTGATCATGACCCTTTATATAACAGAATTAGATTAATTACTTAAGTTTTAGTATTTCCAATTTGGTCCCTCGATCAAATTAGAAATTACTCTATGGTCTCTACACAATTTTATTTTCATGACATATGTCTTTAGCCAAAACTTTAATTTAGTCAGATCACTTTATTATTTAGCTTAATAAATGATGACACTAACACATTTAAATTATGTATCATATATATACATGACTCAATATTTGCTAACAATCTCCCACTGGTCACAAATATATATGTCATTACAACCTTACAAATGTGTTAGATTTTATGAGCTCAAAATTGTCATCATATTCCTTTAGCATACTCCGAAAGTCCTGTCCATTGTTCATATCAGGATATAGAACCAAACCAGCTTTTCATTGCATCATCGCAACTAAAACCAACAATGATTACTGATCCTGACATAACCAAATGACATGGATTCATCATGAAATGTGTAGCATGAAAAATTACATGAAGGTGATCTGTACATGTCTATTTTCAACTGGTCCAAACTTTAACTTATCGAGATCGATATAATATCCTTAATGTACAAAGTGTAATGAATGAACGAAAAAAAAAACGCATATCTATAGATAACCAAATATGTCCAAAAATCAATGTATATATATATAAAATTAAACATAGAACATAAAATATATGAAAGTGACTAACTCCTATTAAACCACAAATTCCTCAAACTGTAAAACACCCATGTGAGCAATATGCTCATGAAAGACCTTGGGCGAAAGTCTTTTAGTTAAAAGATATGCTATCATGGAGTTTGTCCTTAAGTGTTCTATGAAAATCTGTCCACTTTGTACTCTTTCCTTAATAATACAGCTGATTTATCGTCACAATATAATTTAAGTGGTCTTTCAATGCCTTTCATAATTTGCAGCCCTGTGACAAAATTTCTCAGTCATATTCCATGATTTGATGCCTCATAGCATGCTACAAATTCTTGACATCCTGCAAAATCTGAGTCAGAAAACCCAGCGATCTCCAACTGGTCTGACCTCCTGTATGTGAGCATATAATCTTTTGTTCTCTTTAAATATCTTATGACCCTTTTTGCTGCTTTCCAATGGTCTATTCCTGAATTGCTTAAATATCTGCCTAGAACCCCAACTATATATGTTATGTCTGGACGCGTACATATTTGGGAATATATCAAACTCCCGATAGCTAATACATGGAGAATCTGTTGCATTTCCTCAATTTCCAAATTCCCCTTTGGGCACTAATTTAGACTAAACTTGTCTCCCTTAGTAACTGGAATATCCCCGGCTCATGACGCACAGGTTCTTGAGGATCTTGAGTTTGGTCTTGACGAACAATCAAATCATCTTGAATATGAGGTTTATCATCAATGTCTTGTGGAGGTTCCAAACTTACTTTATCAAAAGTAACTGTTTGAATCGGTTCTGGATTTATTGTCGATTCTTCCTCCAATACAAAATTCTTAATCTTATTCTTCCCCTAAATTCAATATCCTCAAAGAACATAATAGTTCCCATCTCAAAAATTGTCTTTAATGTGGGATCATAAAATTTATATCCCCTGCCTCTTTCAGAATAATCAATGAAGTAACTACTTACTGTTCGGGAGTCCAATTTTAGTTTAGTACCACGAGATTCTGTATTAAAAGTTTCATTATAGGTGACCACAATATTAAGTAAATATAGATTATCATGAGCCAAAAGTGAACAAATTCTAACAATATCTGAATTAAAAGACAAACTGAACTCATTGTTTCCAAATAAACACAAATAACCTAATTTATCCAAATAAGAAACTGAAACCAAATTTCGTCTAAAAGACGGCACGACAAAAATATCTTTTAAATCTAAAATAAAAAATTAGTACACAATAATAATCTAAAATGTCTAATAGTCTTCATCTCCATCGATTTGTCGTTTTCAACATATATCCATATTTCAGAATCAGTTGGCTTCCGGTAGTTTAGGCAACCCTTTCTTTTCACGCCAAACATGATATTTAGCACATTGCTTCTTTACGTGTCCAGTCTTATTGCAAAAGAAACATTTGTTTTCTTGAGTTTGTTTCTTTTGTTCTGGACCTTTAGCAACTTCTTTCTTAGGATCCTCCAATCTCTTTCTTTTGCCTTTAGTCTTAGAAGTGCTTGCAAAATGAGCACTTTCTATCTTGTCTTGCTTTAGCCTTTCTTCTTCTTGTACGCAATGAGAAATGAGCTCATTAAGAGACCATTTATCCTTCTGACAGTTGTAAGATACCTTAAAGCTGATTAAACGTTGCGGAAGAGAAATCAACACCAAATGAATGAGCAAGTCTTCCGAGAGTTCGAGCTTTAGTGCCTTGAGTTTAAAAACAATATTAGACATGCTCATAATGTACTCCCGATATTTCCTTTGCCCTGATATTTCATGGAGATCAAGTTCTGAAGAAGAGTGCTTGCCTCTGCCTTATCACTTTTTGCAAAGCGCTGCTCAATTTTAGCAAGGAACTCTTTGGCACTTGTGATATTTTCAGAAACAGTGCCCCTAAACACCTCCGGGATGCCGCGCTTAATGATCATTAGACTCATGCGATTTGAGCGATCCCACTTCTCATAATCTCTTTTCTGTTCAGAGGTACTTGAATTCGTAGGAACATGGGGTTGCTCAGTTCTTAACGCAAGATCCATATCCATGCAGCCAAGAATAATATCAATGTTCTCTTTCCGAGTCCTTAAAATTTGTTCCATTGAGGACCGGAACGTAATTTAAATTGGCAGATACTAGAAACAATTATAGTTGAATTAAGAACAAAAGAAATAAATTAATTATGCTCAATTATAAAAATAAATAATTATAAATAAAATATATATTCAAATAATGGTTTAACTCATCTCAAGACACCCAATGCACCATCAATATCAAGTCTTTGGACAAGTAATATTAATTGCTAGATGTATCTTGTTGTAATAATCAAACATTGACAATAAAGCACGTCCAACAACAAACCAGTCTTTGGATTGATTTATCATCGACAAAGCAAATCTTTATAATTATCACATGTTTATCATTACAGGTGTGTATGTAATTTGGCCAAATATTAATATTCCTTTGGGCTGACTAATACTCGCATGAATATACACAAACACTAACATTCAATATTTTTTACTGAACTACCCAATTCAAGAGAGGTTACTTTGGTAACTTCTTGACTAAATTTGTTCACAAAAATATTAAACTACCAAAAAAGTAATATTTTATTTATATAACAAAACCAAATATTTAATAAGTATTTATTTAAAATTAACAAGGCAAATTAATTCTTATTGAATCATGCGCCAATTGGCCAATCATAATACCAACTTTGTCCCTCATGCCTTTTCTTGATTTCTTCCTTCACCTACACCTCAAACTACTCCTGGTGTGACCAAGGGGTAGGCTTTTGAAAATAAATAGTCACCAACACTTGTCCAGCTTCCTGGGTCTCTCGTGGGAAATTCATTCCCAGGTAATCATGGAGGTTTAAAGACCTCTGTGGTACTGCACCCAGAGCATGTTGTACAAAATCCTGAAAAAGCTTCCTGTTCACAACCTGGTATTAGCTCAGCGTCTACAGATAATACTAAGTTACATCCTCATCCAACAACAGTGGCACCTGTCCTGCCTTCAGGGGTTGACCTCAAAATGGCAGGTACAAATATGCAAAACCAGGTTGTGCTTAGCCACAACTCTCATGCTGAAGCTCAAGGATGGGGTTCTGCTGGGGTTCCAAAGCCAGAACTACAGGCTTGGGGAGGTGTATCATCTCAACTCTGCGACTATGCCTGCCCAGCCAGCATCCCATGGCCCCTGGGGCGATGCTTCATTTGTGCAAAGACTTGTGGATGGAGAGGGAAATCAATATTCGCAAGTGTTGCGGCGTGGAAGGCAACATGAGGTCCTCAATGTTGTCCAATTGAGCCCTCTGAACCAACGCCACATTGTTAACAAGTGTCATGTTAACAACGGAGCTAGCAATGACCACTTTCTGAACCCTCTCTTCCCCCAACATCTTGGCCAAATTGTAAGCCACCATGCCTCCATAACTCGTTCCCACCACCTGGAACTTCTCCACCTTCAATATATCCAGAAGCTTCCCCACCGACGCTGCCTAAAACGTTTCGCTCCTCTCGCTCAATTTGGTGGTGGACCCTCCGAAGAAAATCAAGTCCAGAACGTAAACGTTGAAGTGAGGGGTTAAGAATTGGACCTGTTGGCGCCACTGCCATATGGCCGCAGGCCCAAATCCGTGGATGAGAACGACAAAAGACTTTTGGGACGTTGGATTGGTGGGGGCCCAAAAGTGAAGTGTGGTTTGGTGATCGATGTGGAGTGCAACAAACACCTGGAAACATCCCAGGTTGAGAGGGTCTCCTACGAAACATCAAGGCTAGTAGGGGCCCTCCAAAATCACCAGAGAACCTTGGACCATATGGAGTAAAAGCACGGGGTCCCACACCAAAAAAAATTGAATTAGCCAAAATCATCATGTGCAACAGGTCATAGGATAACCCATGACCGTGCTTTTAAACCCAGCAACTCCCTTTCCCAACCACACTGGAGGCACGTCACGCGGCCTTCTCCAATTCTGCGTGTTGATCCAACAGTTACACCATCTTCGAATAATGCCATACGCGGAATAGAGAATTGAGTTATAAGAAATCATAGGATTCTTAATTTTGGGGTTTTTAATTAGGGATTAAGGGTTTCATAAATTAATCTCAATTCTTAAATATTTCCTAAAAAAAACATGAATCAAGTATGGGTTCACTCTGGTACCAATTGAAATAAAAATTAATAATTAAATATGATCTTTAATCTAACGATCAAATATAAAGTAATCCCATATTGAAAATATGTTATAAACTAAATGTGAAAGCTTACCTGAATTAGCCATAATGATGATGTCCATTTTAGAGCAATATTGATTTTATGGTTTTCCACCTGAAGAGCACCTGTATTTTCCTCTTGATTTTCTCTCTTGATGGGGATAGAAAGAAATAGAAAGAAAAGAACGGGAATGTAACTGTGTTATGTTTTTGTGCTCCCAGAAGGGGACTATTACCCTTTATATAACCAGAATTAGGATAATTACTTAAGTTTTAGTATTTCTAATTTGACCTATCATCAAATTAGAAATTACTCTATGGTCTCTACACAATTTTATTTTCATGACATATGTCTTTAGCCAAAACTTTAATTTAGTCATATCACTTTATTATTTAGCTTAATAAATAATGACACTAACAAATTTAAATTATGTATGATATATATACATGACCCAATATTTAGTAACACATTGGCCAGTTATATAGAGCAATTCGTCATATATCCTTGTTTCGATTCTCACGGTCACTAGTTATATGGTTTATATAATGTAAGTGAGGTAGAGTTAAAAATTATATTAGAATTCATCTAATTTTTTTTATTTTTTTTTTTTGAGCTCACTCGTCACTAAATCACTCTCAGATAGTGAGATGTACAGTATTAAAATTTTTACATCGAAATGTTTTTATCTGTAATGCTATACATGTGTTAACGATCTTGTATTTACTAGTCATATTATCAAAATAGTATTCCTCTATGTTTATCCAAATTTCATTGTCAGTACCGGAAGATGCTAGGGTACCTTCTGCACTTAAAATTCTGAACAAGATAAAATTTAATTGATAAAAGCGTACAAATGTTCAGAAGATATTAGTAGACATAAATGTTCCCTTAAAATGCTACAAATGGAGTAGTTCAACTTTCAAAAGCAACATAGAATTTAATTTAATAAATAATCAATCACAATAACTAACTGTGCTTAACATCAAAAGAGGGAAAAACTTGAATTCATGGAATTAAACGAAGGTAACAAAACCTTCTACGAAGCAACTCTAAGTGGTCACCCAACTCAATGATCAGAAAAGTAAATGCAAATATCTCTACGATTAACTTAATTGTAGAGGGAAATCTCCCATATTGGTAGCTCCAGTTTTAAAGTATAGAATATGGAAAAACAGAAAAATATATGGGTCTTTGACTATATGTTATTCCAGTGAACACAGTATAAAGAAAAAACCGCCGTTGCCGGGGATCGAACCCGGGTCACCTGCGTGACAGGCAGGAATACTTACCACTATACTACAACGACAACCTTTGAAAGGTCAACTCTTGCATATATTTTATTAGTTTAACAAAAGACTTCAACTAAAATAATAATAAAATCGCCGTTGCCGGGGATCGAACCCGGGTCACCCGCGTGACAGGCGGGAATACTCACCACTATACTACAACGACAACCTTTGAAAAGTCAACTCTTGCATATATTTTATTATTTTAACAAAAGACTTCGACTAAAATAAAAACAAAAATCGCCGTTGCCGGGGATCGAACCCGGGTCACCCGCGTGACAGGCGGGAATACTCACCACTATACTACAACGACAACTTTTTGACATAAACTTTCTATGACCGTATAAATAGTATTACTTCATACAATCCATAACTGATAACTTTTTAATGGCGAAGAAGTATTGCCTTATCCTACGATGGTGTATGATTAGAAAATAGCATAATAATAGCAGCAGCCAAAGTGCGTTAGAGAGAGGTGAAGCAATGGCTGTGTCCTCTACCACCGCCCCAGTATGTATTCCTGCTAATAAGAACATTCCAACCCCTCATGTCCCAAAAATTGGTTTCGCAAGTACCATTGCTTTTACTGTGAAACCGCGGAGATTGTTACGTATCAGAAGCTCCTCAGCTGAGACCTCTGACTCAGGAGTAGATTCAGAGAGTAGTTCCATTGAAGTTCCAAAGGAACCCTCATCGTTAATTTCTGCTCTTAACGTCGAAAGGATTCTCCGTGGCTTACGTAAGTTTTTCACAATCTTCATGCGTAATATAGTATAATTAACTCGTATGCTTTTATTATTTACACGCGCATAAGGGCTTTTAATTGATGAAAACATGGTTTAGAATGCAGCAATTACAGATGCAGATCATTATGGTAGACTAGGTGTTCCAAGAGGATGTCCCTTTGAGATGGTCCGAATTAACCACCTTAATTCGGTTTTCTGTTTCAACTTGGTTATACTTGTCATTCATTTTATGTTTTCCACCTCTATCTAACTACTTTAACTAATGACAGGTGGGGGTTGCGTATAACAACAAGGTTCAAGAATTAAAGAGTCAGAATTTAGAGAAGGACGAAGTTGAGAAGAAATTAGAACTTCTCAAAGTCAGTAATATACATATATTTATTCAGAATATTTGAATTACTTCTGTGCTATGTTCATCATGATTTGGTTTACCACCCAATAAAAACCTTGTGTAGGAATCATACACCATCCTGTCCTCAGAAGAAGAAAGAAGAATCTATGACTGGAGCTTGGCCAGAGTAGAGAATACAGACCAATTCGTTTGGCCGTTCGAGGTTGACATAACACAGACTAAAATCCCAGAAGAAGATCCTCCCATACTGGTACCTTTGCTTCCATTAATCTATCTATCTATCTTCTGGTGGTCTTACCAAATAAATATTAATAGGCTTATTTATAATGTCATCATAACTCTTTAAGTGAGTGGTTTCAAATTATATTTTTATTAATTTGCTAATGGTTACACTAAAATGACTCAATAAATATTAAAATTTGTATTTTCCTAGTGTTAAATATATTCAATATTTTCTATTTCCCATGGCAGGACACTGAAGATGTTGGACCAACTAGAGTGGTTGGGTATTTCTTGGTGGGATGGTTAGTGTTGGCAGTTGTGTTATCTATTGGACTAAATGTTTTAAACTGAGTCTGGTGAAGGGATTTTTCTCTCTTTTTGTATGATATCAAATGAAGGGTCATGTAAAGACAAACTCTTTATTTTTCTTTGCTAAACACATTGCTTAACACACTTCTATTATAAGTTAAAGATCACAAAATTTTGTTGCTCTTCTTATTGAATCAGCCTAAGTTATTAGTTGCACTCCTCGTTCCAATCCTGTACAGAGTTTCCACATTGTCTTCCCTACAACATACCAATATTTCCAGAACAATTTCACTTATGATTGTACTCCGATAAATTTGTCTGCGCTAGAATAGATAGAAATTGCTGCATTGTTAAAATCCTCTTTATAGAATCTTCCTATAAAGCAAAATACATGAAAAAACAAGAAATTACAGAAAATGATTATCACTTGTAAGATTAGAAATGCTTCCCAGTGAAATTGAAGAAAAAGAAGAAAAAACTCGACAGACGAAATCTGTAAGTGTAAAACCACGTAATCCTACCGAAGCCTATTATTACCAGTGCTTCAAGCTTGATTACCAAGATCTGACCGACCTAGTGTCCTCAAGCTTGACTAGCAAGATTTCAAGATTAGCCTTCACTGAAGAGTGGTGGTGTTTTATGAAATGAAAATGTTCTGATAGAAAATTCGTCGAAGAAAAGAAAAAGAGCCAAGAAAAGTCAAGAAAGTATCAAATATAAAATTCTCTTTTGGAAATGGAAAGTTCTTAGGGAAAAATGTGGAACAAAATTCGGATTAAAATTCTTGATTTGTTTAACATCATCTTTAACACGAACTTGCCCATACTACGATGCCGTCCTCACCTTTGCGGTTTGTTTTCTCAAAAATCTCGTGTTACGAACTTTATCACAAAATAAAGAAGCTGGACTTTGATCGGTTCGAAACCTTCCTATGTATTAGTAAAAGAAAAATCGATACCATATTAGTAAAAGAAAAATCGATACCAAAATCGAAAGAATCAGAGAGAGAAAATCGAAAATCATATAGTTGGTTAAAAAATTGATAAGACTGGAAAAGACACCTGGTGACTACAAAGATAAAAACACATCGAGAATCAAAATCGAGAATCGAAGAAACAAATTTCGATGTCTATTGTTAAAGAGAATCGAGAAATTAGAATAGTGCAAAGTTAAGATTAAAGGGAATCAAAAGCAATTCAAAGTACTCGATGTCTGAAATCGAGATCGAGGGAACGGTTAACACGCACATAGAACATGGCAAACAGTTTCTAAACTAAGGCTGACGAAGATCAAAGAGGCAGTTATCTCTTGCATGAGAACATGGGATGTAGTTTTTAAACCGTAACACTAAGAGACATGCATGGTGAGTCGTGGTGGCAGTTTTGTTAACTGTTCTTAGGAGGTTATCTGAAGGGCGCTTTATAAATAGAGCAAAGCTTGAGGAAGAACGGGAAATTGGCAGAGACAACAGAGGCGCAAGTGAGCAGTCTACAGGAGAACGACGCATCATGAAGTTTCTAATGCTCTGGATTTCCATTTTCATTGACTGCCTTTATCGCTTTCTTTACTTTCCCTGGTAATTTACTTTCATGCAACTTACGTTTATCAACTTTAAGTTTCTGTCCTTTCAATTCCTAGTTCCTTTACTTTTACGCAAGTTAATGTTATACGTTTAAGTTCCTCGTCACTTATACTTCTGCAAATTTCGATTTCCTGCTTATTTACAATTCTGCAATTTTCGATTCCTTATCATTTACATTTAATGCAAATTTGAGGTTTCGCATTTTATGTTTCTCTGCAATTTAATATTCTGCACCGCTTTTCGATTCAACAATTTTACTGTTTTCTTTACTTCGCGTTTCTTAATAAAAAATACCAAAAATAGTACTTTCGATTTGCACTTTAAGTAATGTTGTTTGCATTCATCTCGCAATTTAATATTCTCGTGACCGCTTTGATTCAACAATTTTACTGCTTTCTTTACTTCGCTTTCTTAATAAAAATACCAAAAATAAGATTTCTTCGATTTCGCACTTTAAGTAATGTTTGTTGTATTCATGAGATTTCGATTCTCATGCATTTTTTGATTGTAAACCATTTTGCTAGCCTAAATAAAAAGAATCTA